AGTCACGAGTCTGATGAGCACAAGGTGCCCAAAATGCGCCGCTGGCGACATAGCAGTCAGTGTGGAAACCATCAAAGATCGAGGCACAAAACTGAAAAAGTGCAAGACATTTGCATTGTCCACATGCAAATTTTGCCACATGAGATACAACACGAAGAAACATGGAAAAAAATTTGAATTTTACTGCAAAAATTCGCATTTTCAAACCAAATAGAACGACCAAATATGCACATTAACATGGAATCATGGTGTTCAGTGTTGTTTGTGAACCAAGTGTTCACCAAAACAACAAGACTTGGACCGCCGACCTCACTTCAACAAATGAAGCAGACCAGTTTTCATGCCGTGTTTTCTGTGTTTCACTGGTCACTACTGAAGGCTCCGTGGTCAATGGTGCGGCCAAAGGAGGCATCTATTTGTTCCCTCTGCACGGCGTCGCCCCACCGCTTGTGGGCAGCGGCACTTGTGGAATGCGCCAGCCACGACAACGTGGAAGCAAACAGCCGTTCTCCAACGAACCATTCGTTTCCAGCATGGTCACTGGAAAGTTTACTTGTTGCACCCCCAACCCCTGTTCTCACTTGCCATGAGCATAACGCATGAAACGTCACAAAACATTCGTCCCAGGCCACCGCGGGGAAACCACATTCTCGCACCATTGTCGGGACGAAAGCACCCAAGCAGCGACATGGAACACAAAATTGTTGTTTGATTTTTTCACGCGGGTGCGAAGTGAGAAACCCAGCCGGATGTCTCCTGCAAGAACGGAAAAACGGCACCCTGAGGCAGCACAAGTGGCACGTTTTTTGCACTGGTCTTAATGGCAAAACACAAGGAAAAACACACGATGTGACACGTCTGCTCTACAACCAAGAAGGCGCAGCAGCGAGGCATCTCCAATGGGCATGTCGGAAGGTTGGCAAACCACTTCGCTGGGGCGCCGTTCGCCGTGAAGGCGTGCAGTACGACCAGCTGCCCAATTTTTGGAAAAATTGCTGTCAAAAATGTCAGCATTTTGTCGGCCCGCGGCAAAAATACGGGCAACGTACGGAGATATTCATAGCTTGTCAAGGCATGGGTTTCTTTTTCCAGTGGCTGGTTTGAAGGCACCTCCAATGGCCCCACTGATTTGGTCAGGAGGCCTTGTTGGAAGCATGGGACAGGTGCAGAGCACATCCAAATGTCGATGGGTGAGGCTCTGCTGTTGCAGCTGGGGGTGAAAGAGGCAATGAACAACGTGGAAGCAAATGAAACAAACCTGGCCTTGGGCCTAGGGCAGTATTTAAGTACTACAGCTTGTTGAATATGTTTGTGGAATGGAATGCTGTGATTAAATTCTGAGCCAGCAGCACATCTGAAATGAAAGGCAATTTTTGTATCTGGTATAATTTTGATGCTGCGAGCTTGGTCAGGGGAAGGTTGTGCAAACACCACCATGCTGGCGCCAAAATTTATACGGCAAGGCTTTCAAGTTGCTGGAGGCTGCCGCGATGCCTTTGATGAGCAATGTTGTGACATACCCCTTGGGATTTTCTCTGCAAAATCGATGAGGGTACCTACACGACACAGTTTACATTGATCAACTGTGGCTTCCTTGCTCGAAAGGAAACCCCAAAGTATGTCAGCAAAGCCGATTTTATAGAGATTTCATTAAGGGTTCACCGAGATTCCATCAACAATCTTCCGATCCCAAAAAGATCCAAAGTTCCACTCCTTCCGGGCTAGGCATTCCTGTGACTGTCGTAGAAACTGGGATCTGCTTCAAAAGAGCAGGTGCACATGGTGTGTTTTCAGAATTGTGCTTTCTTCGTTGGAGGAGGTGTGGCAGGTGTGCTTGCTGGTTGCTTGCTTTGCTTCTTAGTAGCACCTGATGTGGCAAGTTTTGGATCTTCACCCTGCGCTCCTTTTTGAAAAGGCTGGGCAGCTCTGCCTTCACGGCCCCAGGCTTTCGATCTGCTGGAAGCCGTGTCTGCTGTGTCATGGGCACGGGCTTTGGATGCACGGGCTTTGGAATGGCTGGGGTTCCCACCCCCAAACAATTTTTTAACGATTGGTGTATACAAAGGTGGGCCAACATGGACAAACATTTTATATAGAATGGGGGCCTATAGAACCATAATTCATTAGATTGAAAAGATTTAATGTACAACTCATGTACCCTGCATAGGGACGAGGCTTGAAATTACCTGATTCTCTATAAACAAAAATGTGTGACATACCAAATCTAACATAGCCCCAACATATTTGACTAAAACTATTGCTTTTCGGTGGGATTTCCGCAGTGTTTCCCACTAAGATCCACTAAGCATGTTTTGGGTGGCCTCTCAAAAGGGTGTTTGAATGCAATTCCACAGAGCAAAAGAGATCTCATTGGGAATTTGTTGGGGCGCGGCCCTCACAAGGGTACTACACTCCAATTCTACAGAATGTTAATTGATCGCGGGGGGCATCTGACAAGGGTTCCTGTGGAGTGCAATTCTATAGAACCCATTTTTTGGAGACTGCAACAAAAGCAGTACAGGCATAGTATAAGTTGTCCCAGGCACTCCAATTTTATAATATTCTACAAAAATTTTTGTTTTTCAGTGAAGGTGTATATATTGCATACTTATACACCAGAGATCACTAGAGCAACCTCTATAAAATTGAATACGGCATATTCTTTAAAAAACTGTTTTGGATTGTTCGAGATTGCTCGAGGTTCACAATGAATCATTTCTGACCGGGTTCTGGATGCTTCTGGTATGTTTTGTTTGTTCCCTTGCATTCTCTTGCCATCTTTCTTCAGTGGTAGGGCTGTCATAAAGACGTAATTTCGGGAGTTGTGGTGTGCCATTTTAATATAATGGTTAATTTATGGTAACAATTCCAACATGGCCACATGGCTTTTGTAGGGGTCGTGGGCTGCAATTCTATTGAGCGAGATTGAGCGAGTGACATTGGTTTCTCCCTTCCTATAAAGCGGGTGGGTTGGGGCACGCCTATAAACTCAGTGATGGTGACTGGGTTCAATCATCAGATTGAAATACTATAGAATTGGTGTAGCAAACAGTGTGGACATATATTAGTGGGGTATTGAATCTCAAGGCATTAGATTTTTGCAACCCAAAGCCTGCGATTCTATAAAGGACCAATATACTCATCTTGAAAAAACGCTTAAGTGAGTACCTTGAGGCATCTGATTCTATAGACCTTGTTTCCGGACGTGTTACACGTGTTCATTTGTTTTCAAACCCTGTGCGTAGCAATTCTATAGAGGGGCACATAGATTTCAATCACAGCAGCAACAAGTCTATAGAGGTAAAAAGGCAACCTCACAATCCTGATGTCATATGCAGCATTTTAGTCACTGACCCAACCCCCCAAAATTAAATTTCAAGGGGGATGTTGTGACATTCCGAGTTCACGCAATATGGCATTTGTTGATGCCCTTTTTGCCGAAGTTACAACGGTGGAAGGTGTGTCTATGCAATCGGAGCCGATGAAGATGTCGAGCCTACTGGAAGCCATTGATCTATGAGACAATTTTAAGATGTGTTCTTTATATGCCAGGGCCCCTCTGTAAGCTGTAGGTTGCGCAGGTCGGCACTGCCGCACTTCTCCGATTGGTGTGGGCTGAATGTACTTTTGCTTGGTGTTTTCCACGGGTTAGATGGGTTTGAGAGATCCTATTAAGAAACTATGCGTCACAGACTTGGTGCCCAGTTCAAAACGCAGCCGCAACCGACCCTGCAACTTCTCTTTGCACTTGCGTGCCTAAATAATTTTGCAGTGATTGTCTTCAATGCAGTAGTTACAGTATGTCATCGGCACCACAAAAATGGCGCCACTCACCCCAGGTGGCCCCAGTGTCATGCAGCCATGCATGCGTTTGCTGCTTCATTGGTTTTTCTCCCGAGTGATGATTCCGCTGCAGCGGAGCACCTGCCAATAGGCGAACTCTTTGCTCGAGGGGGTCCCTAAAGGCCATTGGGGGTGTGGACTTCAGCCCCACCCATGGACTTTTCGCACATCCGGTGGCCGCCGGCATACAAATGGCGCAAATCCGGGAGCCGCCGGTATAATAGAAAAATGGTTTTCCACCAGGAGTCGCTGCGGAAGAAGGCGCGGGGGGAAAAAGAAAACGAACGTCCTACAAGCCAGCTAGCTCCCTTTGTTGTGGTTGGGCCGAAAGTGGGCTGGAGAGTGGCGCGTGCAATTGCACCAATTGGATGGCAAGACCATCGATCTGTTTAATGTGGGGAACCTGTGGCGGCACATGGCCGAATCTTAATGGCAGGCCTTTGAAATGCCAAAACCCGTGCAAGAAGGTGTGCATGAGATTCGCATTGAACTAATGTACTGAAGCCTGGCATGGCGTCTCATTTGTTCTGGACGCGCTCAAGTTGACTTGCGGACGATCTAGGAAACTTCCTGCCCCAACAAGCGTTCCAAAACAGATTGACATGCATATGCTTTTCTCGACTAGTTGTATTGTTAGTGTTTTTTCCACGCGCGCGTGGAAAGAAGTCTACGAGCCATCCACTGTGGCAGTGCGATGATGTGCGATGTGGGTTGGCAACAACCACCCCTATACCGATCAGGCGATCGCACATTTTGGCGCGTCCTTACAACCCCACTGGTCCACAGCTTGTCCAGACTACTGCCGCGCGAACTCATTCTTAGCCACCAGCGATTTGCTCTCAGAGTGCATCCCATATGGATGATTAGGCATTTTCTTGGACTTTTCCGCACGACAGGTGTTGGCAATTGGTATCCGATGTCCTTCATGCCTTTGCACGATCAGGAACGTTAGGGACCATGGTGGGCTGGCCCTGAATGGACAAAGACTTGCCATGCCCAAGGCTCAAGACATGTCATGGGAAAAGGATGGTACATGGTGGACATCGCAAGTGTGCAACGGATTCACTGCCAATGGCCATCCCAGCAAGCATGACCACAGGTATGGCATGGACAACCAAAAGAAAAAATATCTAAACAGATGCACTAGTTTTTCTCGACTTGGTTCATGTGCTACCGATGCGTGTCCCGCGCGGTCAGTGGAGTCAACCGGTTGCGTGGCTTCCCAACCTCAGTGCCTCAGCGAGCAAAGGGGCTTCGGAACGGGGCGTTGGGTCCCATGACCGTCTCCGCCGGCGAAGAACGAGTTTCTTGTGGCAGCGCGGAGGGGGAAACCCACTTCAGAACCCAAAACCCTGGGAGCGGGAACCGTCACGCGGCAGCAACCACTGATCCTCCAAGCGAAGGGCCGCGATCCCACACAGCGGAAGTGGCCGTTACACACCTGCCACATCCCGCCCACGCCGAGGCCTTGGGCCGGGGCATGTGGCTTTGGGGAAGGATCCGGAGAATGCCACCTTTGTGGGCCAAGAAGAACTCTTACAGGTGCGGGATGCCCAATGAGTTGGTGGTTTGCCGAGACTCAATGCCAGAAGCAGCGTTTGCGCTAGGAATGCGGGGCTTTCCCAAGCCATGCTGTTTCTTTCGAATCATTCTTCTTGGAATCCGTTCTGTGGTAATACCTTAGAAAATCGTCAAGACTGGATGGCTATACGTAACGTCTAATGCTGGAGGGCTGGTGGGCACCCTGCGATGGACGCTCCTGTGATGAGGCTGACATGGCCTTGCGCGTGCGAGCTCTCAGCCGTGGGCTGGCCAAGTGGCGTGGCTATGCGTCGCGGAGCCATCTGGTGAGGCGGGAAGGTAGGTGGGTAGGTGGGTGCCCTGGGTGTTGGACCCCAAACATGTAGCAGCTGGTGCGGGTTCATGAGCCTTGTGGGCCTGTGCGGACGCTTTCTTTCGATCTTCGTGCCACTTCGGCGGTGCAGCCGGGGGCCTTGATGCGCACCAGGCGTTCGGTGGCCTCCTTTCACCGACGGCGTGCCGGGACACACAGCTGGAGGAGGTGGATCAGAGGACCGTTCACGTGTCCAAAGGAGGTGCCACACATCTTCCACCAGTTACGACCGGGTCAAGGTTAGGAGTTAGGTTAGGACCGTTAAATGTTGGGAAATGCTTTGCATGTTTTTTTGCTTCGCCCAAATCTGGACTCCAAACTTCCTTGGCCTCTCCGCCACGAGCCCTCCGCGCGGCCGCGAGCGGCGTGTCCGAGGCCCGTGCGATCTCGAGAGCGTTGAACTGCTGGTGGCTCTTTTGCGAGGCTCGGAGGCAGAAGGCGCGCGCTCCTGGGCTCCGTGGCGTGGGGGAGGGGGAGGGGGAGGGAGTCGGAGGCGTTTCGAGTCGCAGTTTTGGATGTGGTATGATGGTATAATTGATCTCATTTCACGAGAGGCAGTTGACCGCTGAAACTGATGTGGGCGTAGGGATGTTTGCCTATGTTTCCTATATAATTATCCTATATATATATATATAGATTGCCGGTAGTTCGCCAAAAACCGAACATGGCCAAGGATTTCGTGCGCAATGCGCACACATCCCCATGTGCTCCCCCTGCTTGTTGTCATTGGACATGCTTCAGCTGGATGAAGGAGTGGCTCCGCATCGCCAAGTGCAAGTTGGCACAGAAAGTGCCCCCGATTCCGATTCCTTTGCCGGTCAACGCGAACGGAAGTGACAGTGACGCCCTTGGAACGAGCGAGGCCCAAGTGCAGAGTGCAGAAAGACCTACACCCTAAGAATCCGGGCCCTCAAACACAGGGTTTGGTTCGGGCCCAGATCTGTGCGAAGAGGTCGGGTCCGACCCCTGCCATGGAGAGCCCATTCGGATTCTTTGGGGCAATAATTGAACAGTTCTTGGTAAAAAGTCTTGCTGTTGTCACATTTCGATTCTCATCGTCCCCGCTTTTGCCTCGGAAAGGCTATTTGGCTGAAAGGCACCTCGATCTCTGCTCGTCGCCGGTCTTCCAGGTACGATGCTTTAAGCGCTGGCACCGCTATGTGGCCTCAACCCGATGGAGGCTTCCGGCGTTCTGGCAGCGCCCCGCTCCGGTTTAAGGGTGTCTATTAATTCGTGCCAACTAGCTCCCGTTTGGAGGTGCAGGGGGGTCTCCGGCCACCTCGGGTTTTTGGGTATATGATGGCTCAAACTTGAAGGACCCAGAGCTGACCCCGCTGGCCTTTTTGCCTACCAAGGGTTCATCCTGCTTTTTCTGCAGTCAGCTCGATCCTGTCAGCACCCCATTGATTCAGCCGCTGGTCTCAGATTTCCCATGTGGCCACCCGAGTGAAATCCGCCCAGTGGGGGTCTGATTCAAAAGCATCCAAGGTTTGGTCTGGTCAACAGCAACAGTGAAAAGATCGCTCATCAATCAACACCAACGTCCCAAAGGGGCCACACAGCTGCGACCCCCTTGGCACTTCGCTGCAGCGCGCAGCAGGCGCCCGGAGCGGCGGGCGGAAGATGTGAGGCGCGCGCCTTTTCATTTTTTTTTGGCCGGACACCGGTGCAGGACCTTGCCCGGTGCATGGGGCCCCTTTTCCTTTGTGAGTGGCTGGCGGAAGCAAGTGGCACGTGCATGGGGGTTCGGGTGGTCGTGAGTGGGTCCCAGCCGGAGTGGGGCGGAACGGCGGCGCCACCGGTGCCCTCGGCCCCCGAGCGATCCCATCCGGTGAGGTGTTGGCACCTCAGCGGAGCTCAGCAGGTCCTCCAAGCCTGGCGAAGCTATGCGCAGAGGCGCTGTGGAGTATGGCGGTGAGGGGTGGAGCCCGCTCGAAACTGGTTGCCGGTGGTGGGATCGGGGGCTTTTGATGGTTTTTCCGGACGGCCGCTGGAACCCCTATTTTCAGATCCCCGATGGTTCAGTTCCCGGAGAGGGTGCTGGAGGAACAAGAAGGCCCGACGACCCCACCCGGCCCTCAGGAGCGCGCGCGACCGCCATGCCCTGCGCCGCTCGCTGGAAGCGCAGGCGCGTGGGCGCATGTGGGTCATTAAAACACTTGGTCTGGGCACAACGTTCAGAGGTTCTGCAGAGGTCTTTGTTGGCCCACCCCGTGGGTCTTTGTTGGTTTTGTCGGAAGTCCCCCAGTGGCTGGCGCGCTTGTGGACGGAACCTGAAGGAAAGCAGAGAGTTTCTCATTCAGTGGGTGTTGGCACTTCGAGAAGCTTATTTTTGTCATCTGGTGCGTGCTGGATTTCTGAGATGTACCAGTACCTGTTGTTTTGCTCGCTCGTCATGGTCGTCATGTGCAGCGCCCCCACTTTTCTCACATCAATGGCCGATGGACAGAGTCTGGGACCCACGAAGTGAAGCCGAACAGATGCTTGGTTGGACTTTTGATATAAGGGGCACACACGCCCACATCATCACATCTAACAGTTAACATCCCCATCAGTGCCCCACAATCTACATCTATATATATATACATCCTGCTACCTACCCGAGAGCCCAATGACGACGCCGCCGGGCCGCCACCACGTTCGCCGCGTGGCTTCATGCACACCACAAGCATCAGGTGGCTGAGGCCAGCGCCTGCTTGCAGGGCTGGCACGAGGTGGCCTTGGGCGAGCGAGACCTCCGTCGACAGAAGGAGGCCTGACCAAAACGTGAAGGGTTCCTGAAATTTTGGGCTGGGGTAGATGGTGCTTTGGCGGAGAATGGGTGTCATAAATCTCTAATATATGCTACCTCGTCTGACGAACCACCGAAGGGTCTCGACGGTGCCAAGAACCCGACCCGGGCCACCGTGGGGGCGCCTGCGGAGGTGGCCGCCTGCCTGCGACTCCGACAGCTTCGGAGGAGGCAAGCGGTCCATTGGCTGTGCGCACGGCAGGCGGGACATGTGGGGAGCGGCAGAGGCGCAGGGCACAAGCTGGGAGAGTCAGATCCAAATGCCGAGGGGCCAAGAGGTGCAGCAGGTACTGGTCCAGTGCTGATGTAGCGAACGGCCGGGCATGCTCTTCGTAGGATCGTGGTGCATGCAGCCGTCGAATAGCGAGAAAGAGAAGAAGGAGAAGAAGAAGACAGAGAGTAGCGAGAGGAAAGTTGGTGGGGAAAAAGACCATATGCGCGTACAAGCTGCCTACGTGGCATTGTGTGAGAGGGTCCTACCACATTATAGACCCCTGCTGGACTTCCCCGATGGGGTAGGTCTAGCAGGCTTGCACGATTTGGAGCTAAGGCCTAGGGAATAAGTACTTAATTGCCACCAGAGCCGCCGGTGCCCAAACGCCGGTGCCCACGCGGTCCGCGCGCCCAGTGTCCCAAACGCCGGTGCCCTCGCGTGCGAAGTCTGTAGGACTTGGGGCGGCGTTTGGGGAGCCACGAGCGGAAGAGCCAAGTGCGAGTATTCCAGATCTGGAGCCTCGGTGCAAGGGCTGGGGCCCCGTCATGGGATGGGAGATGGGCCGGTGCAGGGGGCAATGGGCTGAGGATGGCTGAGGAGATCTGAGGATTGTTGCGTCAGTGTTATCTCGGGACTTGGCTTGGACACAGGACAGATTAAGATCAAGGATATCAAGGAGGTTCAAAGTTTAAGTCTAGTCTATGACTGTGACAATGAATGGTCCCACAACACCCCAAAGGTGGGCAGGTGTTATTGGTATTTGGTTCCGGCCGCTTCGCTCCTTCCTTCCACTCCCAGGCGCGCGCAGACGCGGCGTGCGCGGCCCTTCCGACGGCGCCTGGCGTGGCTGGTGGAGGCCCTAGAGCCTTGGCGGATGCCACTGGAGTGATGGGGTCAGGGCTGCGATAGATTCATCCAAAAGATAGATAGATAGATAGATAGATAGATAGATACATAGATAGATAGATATCTATATACATACACTTTTTTCTTTCCTATCTCTCTCTCTCTCTCTTTCTCTCTTTCGCTCTTTCTTTCTTTCTTTCCTTCCTTCCTTCTTTCTTTCTCTCTCTCTCTCTCTCTCTTTAGGTATCAGGTATATAGAACTGCGTTATAATATGATTATATCCACAGACTATATTTGGGCACCTACGGCATAAAGGACATTTCTTCTCGGGTCCACCTACAGGCCATTTCAGCATATTTTAGTAATAGTCTTGGAAATGGAGGGGGCGCATAAATACAGACTATTAAATATTGACTCCCAAATGGATAGAAACAGTGGATCGCCACTGAACATGTATTGGAAACCGAGCCACTATCTATTTGGGGACCACTATATATAGATGTGGGCACTCGGTGAGCTCAGGTGCGCCGGCAGATGCTTCGGGCCTGGTGCCACGTGGCAGGCCTGGCCTTCTCGCGTCGGCCGCCCGAGCTTGGTGTGCATCCACTCAAGAGCGGTGAGTGGATAGAAAGGTTGCAAGTTTGTCAGGAAATTGAAATACATTCACAAACGCGCCGCTGAGAGCGCTCCTTTCTGTTTTTACAAAATACTTACAGAAAATACATTGAACACAAAACATGTTCTGGTCATTATGGGAAAAGCCGTAACCTTCAGTTCAGTCATGTTGTCCAACTTCTTTTTTGTCTCGCCTGTAATCCTGTAATGCACACCCAAAATGGTCAACTCAAAAGAGCATTGCAGGCCTGCCTACCCGCAGCAGGACATTTTGTTCAAAAACAACTGTAGCAACTCTCACACAAGTGGCCCCAGATCCAGATAGTCAAAGCCGTATATAATGAGAAAAAGGGTCAAGGCTGTTTGACAAGAACATGGGATTGTAGCTTTGCAGTATACATCTATATCTATTTGTATTTGTATACATGTGCTGTATTTGTTACATACATGTATACACACAAATATTTGCACACGGAGTCAACCCAGACCGGAAGTGCCAATTGGGATCGGAAGAGTGATAGTATTCATCAGAGTTTGATGATGGTTGGCCAAAGAGGAGGGAGAAAGAAACATCACAACACCGCAAGAAAGACTCTGTTGGTGCCCGTTATCTCGGTGGCTTAGGTCTTAGGTCAGACCAAATGCCAATCTTTCAAAACAACCAGGTATGGAGGAGACGTCCCTCCTCCGCCTCGGCTTGGTGTTTATCGCCTTCGCCGAGGCCTGGGCCGCCGGCGTCGCCTGGTGCGGTGCTTCTGCGGCGACCGCCTCGCCGAGCGCGCGCTGCGACGGGCCTTCGAGGGCTGGCGCCGCACGCGGGACTTCTGGCTGGGATGCTATGCCTCAATCTCCTACGAAGAGGACGGAAGAAAGGGTTCAACATGACCTCAAAGGACCCCAAACCAGGACGTCCGGGCGGAATGCTTCCAGAGGGAAGGTGTGGTTTGCCAGTTTGCTTAGTTTCCTTTTTTGGCGCGGGGTCTGTTTCTTGGGGGGAGGAATGTATTTCGGTGAAAGATGACTATTAAACATCTATGTGACCCAAAGGATCAGGTGATCCACATGCCTACAGCTCCAATGAGTCAGCCACTTCCCCAAATTCTCCAAGCTCGGGCATCGGCAGGAGTTGAGCAGTGCCCAGCTGGTCGCCCGAGTGCTGCGCGCCTGGTGGCATGCCGCGGTGGGGCGTCCCGCTGCGTGCGCGGAGGCGGCGCGAGGCGTGGTCCTGGAGGTGCGGCGCGGAGCACAGTCACTGGCCAAATGGTTCGATAGAAAGAAAGGACGTCCAGGAGTCCAGGAGATCCGGATTTCTCGGGGTGCCAAACATGCGGAGGGGAGGTAGAGGTCTCGTTCAGGTGCGCCAAAAGTGAGACGCACCAAGGGGCGCGTTGGTGCGCCATTCCGGCATGGAACGGCTGGGGTGGACATGGTTGCACCGTTTGCCGGGCGTTGGACCACTTGCAGGCGCAGCGGCATTGGATCCGACGATGGCATCACTGTGTGGTGCAACGGGACCAGCTGGCAGAGATCTTGTGCAAACACATGACAAGGCCCTGCAATGGGTGGAGTCGAGTGAGCCCAAACATGACAACTAGAGCTTCTGGTCATCGCAGGTCTTGTTCCCTTCCGCACGTCTCCCAAATCAAATCTTGGTCATGTAGACTCTTGATTAATAACACCCACCATATGAAGTATTTCAATTCAGTTGGAGGGTTTATTCATCAAGAGTCTACATTAAGTTACTTGGAGGGAACTAAAAGCAACATCCAACCTCTGACTCCAGCAGCTGAAGCCTTCATTTTCCAGCTCGTGAAGGCTTGGAACGCATTTCGTCTCCCTTTGGACAAGTGTCCAGAGCTGCCATGCATCAGGATATTGGGCATCCCTATCCTCCAATAGACAACCCTTTGTTACTCCTGCCATGTGGACCTTGTTCGAACACATATGCCCGCCACGTGGCACATGAGGTCCCGTTTGGGAAAAGACGTGCGAAAACGCCACTCGTGCCAGGTGTGCTGCACTCGCTCTGCTTGGATGGTCGCTCTATGCGGCAGATCAGCTGCTGTTGCGGAAACGTTCCTCGGTCCTGTTCCATGGAGGGGTGGCTGTGGGGCGGCATCTCCCTGGGTGCTTCACCCATCGAGCCCAATGAGTTCGACCGATTTTTGCAAAGCACAACTTCCTTGCTTCAGTCACCTCAGCTGCACCGCCCGACATGGTCTGGCTGCCTGGCTGAAGAGTTTGGACCAAACGCCCCCACGGCAGGCGCCGAGGAGCTGCAGCGGCGCCGGCTCGTGCGGGCGGCGCGGGGTGGTTTGCGCCGCTGGGCGCAGCGTGGGGCGAGGCGGCGAAGCCTCCGCCGTTCGATATGCTGGATCCTGCCTTGTGGGCGTATAAAATTAGGCTGCAGGTGTTTTCTTCAATCATACATGCAGACATGTATCAGTAGCCTAGCCTTTCAGTATCATAGTTACAGTCAGAGGATGTGGCAACCTCCACAAAAAGGAAGGAACGTAGCCATGTCAACCTTGGCCTCCCAAATCCTGCCCTGTGCCACTTCCCGAAAAGAAAGGAACTCCCGCACTACCTGGCGATTCTGCACTTCAACTTCAGTTGATGGGAGAAGGTCTTCATCCCTAAAACTCAGCAGAACTCTGCAGAAACCTGGGAATCCACCTCCAGGTGCCTCCGCTGGCGCCCCCCCCCGACCCGTTCCGCCGCGCCGCAGGCCGGGCCTTGCCGCGCTGCTGGAGCTGCGCGTGGCCATGGTGCCGCGCGTGGGACTGGTGTCGCGGGTCTTCGATGCCTGGACCGAGTGCGGTCGCGCCGCCGGGGGCCGCGACGAAAGCTTTTGCCTTAGATTGATGGCAGGCTTTGATGGGCTCTGTGCTTGAATGGCCGAGGCCATGGCCTGAGGGTTGGTATATGATTGACTCATTTTAGACTAATAATTTAGCCTATGAGTGACCACAAGGCCTCACCATTCCCACCAGGACGGGCGCGATGCACCATGCGGCGGCCAACCAGGCGGCACACCTGGCGGTGCATGTGGCGCTGCTGGGCCAGCTGACGCGGCGCGCGTGGACGGCGTGGTGCTTGGGGCGCCGGAAGTTGGAGGTGCCGATCGACGGGTCCGAATTCACATAAAACTCCTCCAGGGCTGAGAAGAAAGGGTACAAGGCACCTCACCGTTGCAGAGCTCCAAGGTGTTTTCTCCCTACGCCCGCGGGCTCTCGTTGCCACCTAGTCACAAGGCCTTGCGACGCTCTGCAGCAGAGGTCCGGCGGAGGAGGAGCTGCGCCGGGCTCGGGGCTGCAGGAAGAGCATGAATAGCCAGTACATAGATTAGATGGAACAAGCCTATGATTACACCCACACTCCCCTTCATCACTTCAGGATACAAGGTACGATCTTGAGCCACCAGTGGGTGTCTGCAGATGGCTGCACTGCTGTGTTCACCAAGCGTTTGTCATTTGCAGATAGATGCTTTCAGTCCACCACTGGCTGGCGGATGGGCTCGTGCGACATCATGTCCTTCTCTCTCGGGCGAATCGGATCGAATCGGATCGAATCAGGAGGAGGGGTGATCCACTGACCGCATTCCTAGCAGTCGCTTGAAATCCCCGACTAGGAATGACTCTTTCAATCTCTTTCATGTGGAGTTCTTTAGATCTTCATCTTGCTGGTGGGTTGGTTGCTGACACCTCGAGCTCGCCAACTTGCCACCGGCGACGGCCCCCCATCCAAAGCATTCAAAGCAAAAACCGCACAGGTCTTCCATCCATCGATTGGCCCCTTCATCTATCCAGCCCCAGGTCTTTCACCCATCCATGGTTGGTACCGTCGCCCCTCCGCAGGGCCCAGCGCCTGCTGCCGCCCTGGCGCCGCTTGGCCGCGGCCGTGCGGCACGGCTGGGCGCGGAGCCGCGCGTCGCACCGGGCGGCGGTGAGTCTGGCGCTGCAGGTGCTGGGGGGGCGAGCGAGGTCAGAGTGAGTTGGGCGGATGAACAAATCAGTGAACATCAGGAGACCTTGGTTTGACCTACACGTTACCTGGAACTCGGACCCATGTCCAATGGTTTTTGCTGGTGACTCGGACCTGAATAGAAAAAAGGCGCGGGACAGATTGAATCGGGCAGAAAGGCAGATCCGCTTCTGCAGAGGGGGGTCATGGTTGGGCTTCCATGCTGGTTTGAAGGGGAATTTTGAACCTAGGAAGTGCGGTGATGTGCGGTTATGAAATCTTTGGGAGAAGATCTGACATAAGCGCGGTGAGCCGGGATTGAGTTGTTCGCCGGCCTTGGCGCCCCGACCAGCCACGAGAGGGGGGACTCTTCCTTCCAGGACGGAGATGCTGCTTCGAGGATGGTGTCGCTTGGCTGATTTCCGTCCTGATTGCTGGTCCCGACAATGATTTTGCTGTACTGTAGCAGCCGGTGGTTGGCATTCTACAACCTCAAAAACATTCAAAAACTTGAACCTGGACAACCTGGTATGGCTCAATCCTAGCAATCCTCTCCCCAGCCACTACCACAACACCAGAAGCTGCAACGATGCCAGAACCGCCTGATGCCTCGCAGACGGCGACCATTTTCTCATGGGAAACGCACTGGCTCTGACTTTGGTCGCTGAGGACGTTCTACCGCCAGCACTTGTTGGCAGCAATGCTGAGCTGCTGGCAGCAGGATGCGGTGCGAGGGAGCGAGAAAAAGCGCCATGCAGGGCCACAGATGGCAACCTGGAGCTCTTGGCTAAACTTTGGATACGAGGTGATGAGGAAGCAAACTGGTGATCGTTCTGCTGCGCATGTTCTGTTGTTTGTGTGTGCAGAGTTTAAGACTGGAATTGCTTTCCTTTTGTCGGACACCACTCATATATGTGCAACTATCACATGACAGAGTGGTTTGCGCTCAAGCTTCTTGGTTCGAGCCCCGGCCCGCATGTCCGCGTGGCCATACCTTCTCGACATCGTTCGAGAACTTCGGTGGGCTTGGCCGGTGAGCTCCTCTGGTTGCACTGGCATTGGATTGCCCCTGCTGATCCTCTTGGTGCTGCTTGGCTGCTGCATTGGTTGCTTTTGCGGCGCGGTAACCACTCTCCTGGCTGTTTCGACAGCCTTTCGAAGGTGTCTGAGGCACCTTGTGCTTGGGCTGGTGACCTACGCTGCTCCTGCTCCTGTGCCTGTGGCCGCCACGAGCCTTCGTCGACGGTTAGGGGAGTACAGAGACAGTGCATGAGCCAGACACCTGAGGTGGACGCCTTGTCCCTCCAGTTGGGTGACCTGACCATCCACATCACCCGCTCGCCGGCCCGGCGAAGATCCAGTACAAGCGCAGAAGAGCCTAGTGCCGCCTCGGGCGATCCAGTGGCTAGCCTGTTTCAAGAGTCCCCTTCACAAGGTGCCTTTGCTCGCCCCCCTGGGGGCACTACTGCACCCGCCAGTGGTGCAACAGCGGCTTCGACTGGAGGCGCACCGATCCTGCCTGAGGAGATTGAGCCTTGGACTTGGGAGTGGGAAACCTTGTTGTTGGACGCCCGCACTCCTGCTGATTTTGAGCGCCTAGACCTCTCTCCAGTGACTGGGCTATTGGGCAAGTTGAGATCCACTGCTGGTGGTTGGACGCCTCTAGCACGCCTTGGGAGGGCGTTGAGGGCGGGTGTGATCGCTAGGAGCAAGCTGGCTGGCTTGCCTGGGGGCTATCAGACAGGCCCGGACATTCCTCTGGAGAACAGATTTTATATCATTCTTCGAGGTCATTCAGGCCGCCCCGCCGGGTGGACCGAACACTACGGCACCTTCCTTGCAGCTGTGCAGGGACCACACTCGCGTTTCCATCCCGACGTGGTGTGCCACTCATTTGCATCGAAGACGGAAGCTGAGGCTTACTGCATTGGCGCAGGGTCATCATGGCCCGGGCCACTGCAGCGCAAGCCTTGACCGAGGTCACTATGAGGGCCCTGGGAGGGCCCAGTGGGCCAGGAGGTCCACTACCTGCTCTGTTTCTATGCCTTCCTGCAAAAGAAGATGGGACAGCGGTTCGTTCCATGGCTGCATTGGTCCGGATGAGATCCGGCGGTTTCATGGTTGCCCTGCCCGACTCAGAGGAGGTCAGCCTGTTTCTGCAAAGCCAGGAGGACGAAGGGAGCTTCGAATCTGCCGTGGCGTTGTACCCCACAGAAGTGCTTTGGGAGACGCCTCGAGGACGTGCCTTGGGAGAAGGGGGCATCCTGCTAGCAGATTTAGTATGGTCCCTGGCTCAACTGTTCATTCGTGGCAGCCCCTTGCGTGCAGCTTCATTGGTGGAAGTTATCAGGTTCACCTATGGCGACCAAGTAGCTCGCCCCAATCGGGGCTCTGTGGAGGCAGCTGCAGATCAGTGGATTCACGAAACGATGGACGAGGACACAGCCGCCGACTACGTGACCATCGATGGAGGTGGGGAGCCGGAAGAGGAAGAGTTGGTGCAGGATGGCAGTCCTCATGTCATCGACTTGCAGCGCCGTGTCCAAGAGCTGGAAGAGATGTTAGCTCAGCAAGCCTCAGCCAGAACTCCGGGGGGGTGCAACTTCGTCCACGCCTCAACCTCCAAGGCCACGAGGGGTCTTGTTCGATCAGGCTGCAACTCCGACAACTGGCGGCACTCAAACTTTGGAGAAGCTCCGACAGCTGGCAGGCGCCGCTCCGTTGCGGCTGGGGGCACACGAGAAGACGGTGCGAGCCACGCGTCCCTCTCAGTTCCTGGAAACACTGCAACAGGAAGAGACGCTGGAAGCGGTGGAGCCGCCAGAGATGGAGGAGGGCCTAGCAGAGTTGGAAGCTGCCATTCAAGATCCCATGCAGCGGATGTTGCTTCTGCAGATGAAGCAGCTTCAGTTGATGACCAAGCAGCAGGAGAAGAAGATAGACCCTCTCCATGCCGCCTTGGGCGGTTCCGAGACAAGTGGGGGCGGCTCAGGCATAAAGGGCTGCCTTGCGCGCGATGCCTATGTCCGTCTTGCATCCGATGTTGGCAAGGTGGGAAGCATCGTGCAAAACAACGCAGCTGTGGAGTTGGGGTTGGACCCCCATCAGATAGGTTCAGGCCTGATGCGAGAGTACCTGGAGAAGAGATGTCCGCTGGGGGACAACCGTCTCCTAACGCAGTTCGGGTACATCTTCGCCGCTGCTTGGGAACATGGGTTCCGCACGAACAACCACGACCTGCTGGGTCATGCCTCTCGAGGAATGCTCTTCATCGACCAGGCTGCCATGGACTACGGCCGGACAAACCTAGCTTGGCTGTTGACCTCCCTGCCCGAGCCGCAGTACTCCATCACCCAGAGAAATCGGCACAAGGCCTCAATGAGCCCGTTCACCAGGTTAGCCCAAGCTTCATGGATAGCGGCAAACGTGTCGTATATGAAAGACTTGGACTACCTGGAGGGGCGCATCAAGACAGCCAACTCTGCCCCACCTCCCAAGTCCAGCAAGGAGGAGGGCGACGAGGGGCCAGCTGCAAAGAAGCAGCCGTGGAAGAAAAAGAAGCAGAAGCAGAAGGAGGACGGCTCCGGAGGAGCCGGGGATCAGTGAACGCGACCGACGATCCTCCCCTGCGCCATTGCACACCCCCTTTGCCGAGCTCTTCTTTGTCAGGACGGGGGGATAGGCTCCCTACCGTCATTTGCGGTCGGGGGGGTGTGCCGCGGCCTTGCAGGGTTGAGAGTGGGAGGGACGGTGAGCCCTACCCAACAGTCGCGACGAATCAGGAAGCAGGCAGCGGGCCTCATTTTGAAGCTCGGGAACCCCGGAACGTTGATGTGCGGATGTCCGGGTCTCAGCTGCCATCCACAATTCAGTGCACTGAGCTAGTGCGCGCAATTTTGCAAGTTTCCAAACTCCCTGGCGCTTTTCACCACTTCGCCCAGAGGAGTATGAAAGAATTCCGCTCTGATGAAGAAGGTCCTGAAGTTAAGAGGACCGATCATTGGCCATGTCCCCCGCTTCGCTGGCGGCGTTGGACGGCCGCCCCATCACCTTCACCCCGCCGTCGACGCAGACTCCGACTGTTGGAGACAAAGGCCCTATGTGTGCAACAGTTGGTGCTGGCTCTAAACTGGCTGTGCTTGGGGTTTGCCAAGTCACCGCCAATCTATGCCAGAGCGGGCTACCCGATGAGCGCGCAACAGCACGCTATGGTTGAACGGCTGGAAGACCTAGTGGACCACTATCTGGGTGGGCCAGCCGTGCAGATAGACAGTTTAGGCCGGGCTGGGGAGAAGTTGACAAGTTTGGGAAAATTAGCTTTTCGGTTGCACGACCCATCAACTACCTTTACTGTTGATGACCTTTCCAGTTTTTTAGAATGCATTCAACAAAGTTTTGAACCTTACTCACGTAATAGACATATGAAAGCTCGGAACTATGAGCCCCAGCCTCCGACGACCAGTACAGATGAGGCTATGCCCGTGACGCCCGAAGTCAGGATCCCTTCTAGCTCGTTTGTTGCATTGCCAGTGCAAGCTGATCGAATCAAGTGGAAACTGGCTCCGACGTTTGATCCTGTACCATTCCTTTCAGATCCCATAGTCAAGCGAGCTTTTCAGGATCCTAATGTGCTTCGGCGTCCAGAGCAGGATTGGCCCTCTTTGCCTCGGGCGAAAGTGCACGCAGATCGTACACAGATCTTCAAGCTTGCGCAGAAATGGGATGCATTGCACGCTTGTTGTTTGGTGCCATGCTCTGAGGTGAAGTCAGTTGAGTCTGTGGGCTTATTTGCAGTCCCCAAAGATGCGGACCACGACCGCTTGATCTTGAATCCCACGGTGGTGAATAGCAGGTGTTTTCCCTATGCTGCCTATACCAAAACCTTGGCCCCAGGGTATTTGATGAGTTTGATCCGCATTGGAGCTGATGAAGATTTGTTAGTATCCTCAGATGACCTATGCGAATTTTATTATACCTTTAAGGTGAGTGCGCAACGAGCGCGTCGCAATGCTATTGGTATGAGATTCAAAGGGTCAGAGTTTTCGCAGTTTCAATGCTATCAACCTCAGTTGCATGAGCAAGAGGTATTTGTTTGCTTGAGTACTCTAGCAATGGGCGACGCCCTCGCGGTGGAGATCGCGCAACAGAGTCATGTTAATGTCTTGCGAACCCTCGCCTCTTGTATGCAGCCCCATGAGTGTCTTCTGTATCGTCAACCTATACCTAGAGGTCCGTTCTATGAACTGTTGACGATTGACGACCACATTGGGTTACAACGGGTCAAAAAGGATGGTTCTTTTCCGGAAGATCATAGCAGGGATATTCAAGTTTTTGAGGCTGCAAATCGAGCATATTCACGTGTGAAGTTGACCGCACATCCCGGGAAGATGAGACGCCGGGAACAACACGCAGTGGTGTTGGGGGCCGAACTGGACGGGTGCCGCGGACGTTGCTCGGCTCCCAGGGAGCGTGTAGCTCTGCTCAGTTTCATCACCAGCATCATTGTTTATAAGAAGTTGGCTACCCGGAAGCTGATTTTGGGACTGTTGGGGTGTTGGACTCATGCCCTTTTGTTTAGACGCCCCCTGTTCGCAATCCTCGAAACTGTGTATCACGAGGGGGAAACTCTTCCTAGTGACCAGGTGTTCAGGCTTTCAGAAACATGCTGCAACGAACTATTGCTCCTTTGCATTTTGGCACCGACAATGCAGACAGATCTTCGCGCAGACATTGCCAATGTTCTTTACACGCTTGATGCCTCACCGTACGGTGGCGGCCTGTGCCATGCAGAGTTTTCAGCAAGTGGTGCAGAAGAGCTGTGGAGGCACAGTGAACAGCGGGGATTTTACACGAGATTACAATCGCCTGCAGGTGCCACATTGAGGGAGCTAGGTTTCGAACATACAGAGTTTTTTGGCGAGGACGCCCAGCATACAGTTTTTCCCGATGGTGTTTTAACTTCACCTCCTCTTTTGAAGATTCAGGAGAGAGTGCTCAAAGATGAGACCAAAGCATTTGACTGCATTGAACTCTTTTCCGGACAGGGGAATTGGAGCCGCAGTCACTCCGAGCTTGGACTCAAGGTGCATCCGGGCATCGAGCGCGCTGCGAGCGGTCGCACGTTTGGTGATCTAGCAGACAATGAGACCTTTCGCGAGCTGGCCAAACTGGCGTATCACGGCGCCATCAAAGACTGGCATGCAGGGCCTCCGTGTTGGTCTTTCGGGACCTTGCGAAGGCCTAGGTTGAGATCTAAGGAGCATCCAGCTGGCTTTCAAATCCGTGACCCGCTGACTCGTGAACAGACACTGTTGGCTATTCGGACAGCATTTTTGTTGACCTTAGCAATACTCAGTGGGAGCTTTGTTTCTGTTGAACAGCCCGGGAGTTCGGTGATGTTTCTCCTGGCAGCGTTTCAGAGACTGCTTGCACTTGGATGTAAGATCACAAAGTTTTGCTTCTGTTCGTTTGGTTCTGGATTCAAGAAGCCAAGCAAATGGTTGCACAACAAACCATGGTATGACGTGTTATCTGGCACTTGCTCTTGTCCTCACAGAAATGCTCACTTCACAGTTCAGGGAACTTTCACCCGTGCTTCAATTCGAACTTTTGATCTTCATTGTCGACCGAACGCGATGACAGTATATGGTCATGTTCCTGAGGTTGGCACCCCGGTGAGTAGGTACTCGGCTTCATACCCCCTACCCTTGTGTCAGGTGATGGCTGCCGGGTGTCATGCAGCTTTCAAGTCTGGCGTAAAGCCCCACTCGTGCGAGCGGACCTGCAGTTCAGCTGCAGAGCTTGATGAGGCTGATGACTTGGGTTTGAGGGAGTGGCATGACGACCCACTTTGGGTCGAGGACATTTGCGAAAGTTTAACTTTCCAGGAGTTGTTCAGATATAGGTTCAAGAAGAGTGGACACATTAACGTTCTTGAATGCAGAGTATATAAATCTTGGCTGAAGCACTGTTGTAAGAAACATCCTGGAAGCCGCATCGTCTGTTTTTTGGATAGCAGGGTTACAATGGGTGCTGCGGCTAAGGGCCGGAGTTCTTCAAAGGCCTTGAGCAGGATCCTCCGAACTTCTTTGGGATATATCATCGGAGGATGTTTGTATCCCGGATCCCTTCACTGCAGGTCAGCTTGGAACCGCGCTGATGGCCCTTCACGGGACACTGAGGCGCCAGGTCCTTCGCGGCCGATTCCACGCTGGCTCAAAGAGCTGAGGGAAGGGAAGGTGGAGCTGTTTGACCAGATGATCGCTTTAGCAAAGTGGAACAGACCGGTAGGTCGCTGGATTCGTTTGTTACTGCTCTTAGCAGGGGACATTGAGCAAAACCCCGGACCACCACAAACAACTTCAAACAAGCAATATGCACCTCGTGGCGAACTTAATTTACTTGGCGGGTTTGCAACAGCGACCTCAACGAGGATGCAAAAATGTTTACAGAGTTTTCAGAAGTGGTGTGTTGATGAAGCCGGTGTTTCATTCGAGTCCGTTTGTGAGACCGCAGAAGCAGCGAATCTAGCTCTGAGAGCCTACGGCCTGTCTTTGTTTCGTGAAGGCAAACCAAGGTATATGTTAGTGTACGCCATCACGGCGATTCAGCAGCTCTTTCCAGAGTTCCGGAGGAACCTCGCTGGTGCATGGCAGGTTGATCTTAAATGGCAGTTTGAGGAGCCCGGCCAGTGCCGTGCTGTACTCTCAGCTCCGGTACTGAGGGCTGTGCTGGCAGTTGCGCTGCTTTGGGGATGGTTTTCTTTTGCTGGTTCAGTGGCTTTAGGCTTCGGTGGGATGCTCCACCCTAGTGAATTGCTGGCCTTGTGCAGGCGTGATTTGGTATTTGCAGAGGATGCATTGATGACTCAATCTTGCATGTACATTTACATAAAGAACCCAAAGACGGCCCGCTTTGCACGCCGTCAGCACGCTAGAGTTGACGACGCGAGTTTGATTTTCTTGGCTAAATGTGTGTTCAGCAACCTGCCTCTGGATAGCAAATTGTTCCCGGCTTCGATAGCAGTATTCAGACGTCAGTGGAACGCTTTGTTTGATCATTTAGGGATACCATGAAGACAAGCAGATCGTGGGGCGACCCCAGGTGTTCTCAGAGGCAGTGGGGCAACCCACGAATACCTTGAAACTTCAAACATCGCCCAAATACAGTGGAAGGGCAGGTGGAGTCGCCAGCGCACCCTTGAATATTACATACAGGAGGTGGCAGCGCAGCTCTTCTTGTTCAACCTTTCGACAGAAACTCGAACTCGCATAGCAACCCTAGGGTCCAATTTGCGGTTGATTTTGCAAGCGAGCTTTCCAGTGCAATATCAGTTATTTTGCAAAGCAGAATTTTGAGGACGGAGAGAGCTTTCGATCGAGCATTGTGTGGCCTTCCTTTGAAGTTGAGTGG